GCTTAACTTATTTTGGTAACGACATAAAAGTCGATATGCCTATACATAAACGATATATAAGTCGTTCTAGTGCAAAAATGCAAACATTATAAGAATGACATCGAAGTTGTTCTTGAAACTCAAAACGATATTGATGTCCTTCCAATAAAAAAAGTGCACTGAACAACGTAACGATATTGAAGGCATGGCGAGTAGTTATGGACGATCAAATCGTTACTTTCAGCTAGAACGATATAATTATCATTTTATATGAAAAGAAACGATATCTATGTCATTATACTTGTAGTTTGAATTGAAACGATTTCAAACTCTTCAAATTTGCACTAAAACAATATGAATGTTATTACTTTATTTGTGATTTTGATACATAACGACATCATTATCTTTTCAATACAAGTTTGATGACGTTGATATCGTTTTAGTTTAAATCACAACTAAAACTACACACATGTCGTTTCAGTTAAAATAAAAACGATATTTATATTGTTTATGCTAAAAATAATGATTCGTCCGTCCACGACCACCAGAAGCGCATCCGACATATGTAGGATGATCAAAATCGATAATCAAGTGAGTTCGATCTCCCTCAAAAGAAACTATGAGAACATTTTTGTTCTCATGATTGTATACCACCTTCGAATTATTCCGACGAAAAATATCTTCGTTTGCTCTTTCTAAGTCATTCAAGTGGGTTGAATTCGTGTGGTATCAACCCACTTGATGACATCTTTTGATCGTCCTACGTATGTTGAAGGCATGACGGATGGTTGTGGACGGTCGAATCGTTATTTTTAGCTAGAACGATATAATTATTGTTTTATATGAAAATAAACGGTATCTACGTCGTTATACTTGTGATTTGAATTTGAATGATTTCAAACTCGTCAAATTTGTACTAAAACGATATGAATGTTGTTACTTTATTTGTGATTTTGATACATAATGATATCATTATCGTTTCAATACAAGTTTGACGACGTTGATATCGTTTTAATTTAAATTATAACTAAAACTACATACATATCGTTTCAGTTAAAATAAAATGACAATTATATCGTTTATGTTAAAAATAACGATTCGACCGTTCACGACCACCAGGTATGCATCTAACATATGGAGGATGATCAAAATAGATAATCAAGTGGGTTCGATCTCCCTCAAAAGAAACTATGAGAACATTTTTGTTCTCATGATTCTATATCACATTCGAACTATTTCAGCAGAAAGTATCTTCGTTTGCTATTTCTAAGTTTTTTGAGTGGTATCAACACATTTGATGACATCTTTCGATCGTCCTACATATGTTGAAGGGATGACGGATGGTTGTGGACGGTTGAATCGTTATTTTTAGCTAGAACGATATAATTATCGTTTTATATGAAAAGAAACGATATCTACGTCTTTATACTTGTGATTTGAATTGGAACGATTTCAAACTCGTCAAATTTGTACTAAAACGATATGAATGTCGTTACTTTATTTGTGATTTTGATACATAACAATATCGTTATCGTTTCAATACAAATTTGACAATGTTGATATCGTTTTAGCTTAAATCATAACTAAAACTACATACATATCGTTTCAATTAAAATAAAACGATGATTATATCGTTTATGTTAAAAATAACGATTCAACCAGCCACAACCACCAGATGTGCATTTGACATATGTAGAATGATCAAAATAGATAATTAAGTGGGTTCGATCTCCCTCAAAAAAACTATGAGACCATTTTTATTCTCATGATTGTATACCACATTCGATCTATTCCGACAGAAAGTATCTTCGTTTGCTCTTTCAAAGTCACTCGAGTGTATCAACACACTTGATGACATCTTTCGATCATCCTACGTATGTTGAAGGCATGACGGATGGTTGTGGACGGTTGAATCGTTTTTTTTAGCTAGAACGATATAATTATCATTTTATATTAAAAGAAACGATATCTACGTTGTTATACTTATGATTTGAATTGAAACGATTTCAAACTCGTCAAATTTGTACTAAAATGATATAAATGTCGTTACTTTATTTGTGATTTTGATACATAACGATATCATTATCATTTCAATACAAGTTTAACGATGTTGATATCATTTTAGTTTAAATCATAACTAAAACTACATACATATCGTTTCAGTTAAAATAAAACGACAATTATATCGTTTATGTTAAAAATAACGATTCGACCACGACCACCAAACTTGCATCTAGTATATGTAGGATGATCAAAATAGATAATCAAGTGGGTTCGATCTCCCTTAAAAGAAACTATAAGAATATTTTCGTTCTCATGATTGTATACCACCTTCGAACTATTCAAACAAAAAGTATTTTCGTTCGCTCTTTTTAAGTCATTCGAGCGGTATCAATCCACTTAATGACATTTTTCGATCGTTCTACGTATGCTAAAGGCATGACGGATGGTTGTGGACGGTCGAATCGTTATTTTTAACTAGAACGATATAATTATCGTTTTATATGAAAATAAATGATATCTATGTCGTTATCATTGTGATTTGAATTTGAATGATTTCAAACTCATTAAATTTGTACTATAACGATTTGGATGTCGTTGTCTTATTTTGTGGGTTTGATACATAACAATACTATTATCGTTTCGGTACAATTTTGATAACATTGATATCGTTTTAGTTTAATTATTAACTAAAACGATAAATTAAAATGATAATTATAAAAATGACGATTCGATCGTCCACGGTCAATTATATGTAAATTTCAATTACATTTAATATCGCAGTTATAACGTTCTAGTGTAATCACTCCTGAAACGATATGTATGACATTATAGTTACGATTGAATAGGAATGATATCATTGTCGTCGAAAATTGTATTGAAAGGACATAAACGTTGTTTACTTATTCTATAGCATGCGCTTAAACCTGTTAAACAGTGAAGTAATGTGTGTTCGATATCGGAACAACATATACATCGTTTTTTGTACTTTAGAAACGAGTTCAATGTCGTTATACAAATTAGTTTAAGCAGAGTGTATTTGATGCTGAAACGATATCGAAGACGTTTTATGTTTCAAGAACGATTTTAATGTCGTTATCCAAATCAATGAAACAGTGTCAGCAGCTCATTTTCATTCCACATTTTTATTAAGTTGATAAGTTATATTTTACGATTTCTTCAAACTGTAATATTTTGGTGTTGGCTTATTCAAATCGACTTTTTCTCAAGTCGAATAATTCTTATTAATTACAAGCTTTAAAATGAGTACAATATCGATATATTGCATCGCTATTTATTAAAATCTAATTATTAGACTCTAAATAAGATATAAATTTAAAAAAATATTTTTGTCCTTTTTTTCCAAAATATAACAGTAAAAATTAATTTAAAAAATTTCGTATGTTATAATAGGTGTCTAATGAATAAATGACTCAGTAATTATTTTCAACTAGTTGCTAAGTTGTGGATAATGTTAAAACTTTGAGTGCACTGGAAATCTATTACGAAAAAGAGATGGCTTTAAACTTAAAAAAAAAGAGTTCGAATTCTAAGGAGAAGATGATTTTGAAGTGGAAGATTTTTTGAATTTAAAGGAAGAGAATATTGTGTGTGTTAGAACATGAATGCATAGTTATTAGAGCCAACCCGATGATCGACTCAAAAAATCACTGGGTCAATGGTTCAATCGGTAGGTTATTGTTAAATTTTAATTTTAATTAAATTTTATTTTTGAAGTGAAAATAAAATAATTTTTTGAAATGTAATATATATATTTTGCTCATAAAAAAACAAAGGACAATCACTTGTCATAATGGTTGTGTAGTTAAAATATTTTCTTGCAATCCAAGGTTCAAGTCACGGTTCCAACAAATTTAGAAAAAAAACTCCAATTTCTTCTTCATTTTTGTTTTACAAGTTAAGGGTAAATAAGTCTTTTGACACTTTTAAATAATTAAAACTCCTTTTATTTTTATAACTTTGGTCAAAGGCCAATTAAACAAAATGTACATTAAGAGTGGACATCCCAACTCATTTCCCCTTATGAATATTGCAGTCCAATGTGTCATCATAGTGTTATTTAAGCATTAAAATATTCATCTCTAAACCAAGCACTTGTATAGCTATTTTTTAAAAAAAGGAAGCAAATTAACAAATTGTATTTGGACGCAGTCAAAATCCCAAATCCAAGATTTAAATTATAGTGGATAATTTTAATTTACTTGTGAGATGCGTCGATCTATATCAATTTATGTGACAATTGAATTGAACTAGTGACTCATTTTCTTATTTATCACAAGGCTGGTAGTAACTTAACTAACACAAGCAAATTTCATTTACCAAGTAAGGTACAGTCTTTGCCCCATATTGTACAATTGTCACACACTATTATTGTACCAGGAGATTGTTTCTTTAAATTCATTAAGAATTTACGCGACCAAAGCAACGTATGACCTTCTGTAGGGAATTGAGGGTCCATCCTAATATTAGCTATAGCAACTAAATTCACTAACAAAATCTTAACCATGTGTAGTCGATATCGGATTTTTTTCCATAAGTTCCCTGCACCTTTAGAGGCAAAAAGTACGCAACCTGATTGCACTGACCTCCGATTCTTAGCCCCCGTTTGAACCTCATTAATTTTCATTACATTATATTTCATTTTTCTCTCTTCTATTTTCAATTATACAATCTTCCATAAAATAATATTACACGTAAATCGAAAATTTTTCCTTCTTTTTCAACCATCCATTTTTCAAAAATATACTATTCCACCCATTAAATTTTCCACATAATGGGGGCCAAACAGGGGCTTAATGTACCCACCAATTATGTACCTTAATAACTTTGTTTTAATTATCACGGACATTAAAAATTTCAAACTACGGACAAATGAATTATGTTTGTGATTATACTGAAAATTAAACTTATAGCTAGCCAAAGATCCCAAGGCAGCTACGAAAAATAATCTGCCGGAAGATCAAAAACATCCATCGCCGAAAAAGGGGAAAGAAAAGGTATCAAGTAAAAATCGTAGAGAATGAAACTCATGAAGAAAATGGGTATGAAAGTTTGATGCGTACAGAGAGTTCTTTGAAGAGAATATAAACCTCAAAAAATGCTCTTCCAGTGAAACGGAAAGGGAAACCAACTTCCTGCAAATGTTGGTGCGTGCATAAATATATATACAAATTTATGCTTAAACATAAAGTGAACAACAATTCCTAATAAGATCCACAGTATTCCCCCACAGCCATTAAACTCGCAGATATCATGAAAGAACCAAAATTTCACAAAATAAATATGAACAAGCAGTCAAAACGAACAAACATTTACTTATTAACGTCGATAGATGATCTTCTTCTGCAGATTTCCCTTCTTCTTGCAATTTTGTTTCGTTGCCAACACCTTGCCAAAATTATCGACCCAAAAAGGCAAAAATAGAAAATCCAAAGATAAGTTAGAACTTCAGAAACTTGTACATAAGAATCGAGAAGTCACCAAAAACCTCCCGTCTTTTTTGAAATACAACAAATGCATAGTAATACTTAATTTTTCGTTTTGTCGTCGATTCAGGAACTTCTTTGGTGAAGTTCTTTCGCATATTTCTACTCCTACTTCAGTTTCGTTCGATCATGGAGATAGTGATTTATTGTTCTCTTCGAACCATTTGAGGTTTTTGATCGAGAGATTTGAGGGTTTTGCCTAAGAAGAGGAGCATCTTTCATTTTTGAGACGGAGAGGGAGAGAGAGAGAGGGCGTGCGCAAAGGTTTTGGGGGGCGATTTAGGATTGACTCAAATAAAGACACATATTGTGTTTAACTTTGGACAATAGGATTTGGGCTACATGTATTCATTGGGCCTGTGAATATATATCTTGAGCACATATTAAAATAAATTAATTTATAACTTGTCAGAAAGATATATGAAGAAGAGACCAAAATTGATGAGAAAACAAACTAATTTAATTCCTTCTGAGCAAGCCCAAATGGAACCCTTACTTTCCTTTCACATCTATATTTTTTACCATGAATTCATCGAAAAAATTGACATAAAATATCATGTTATTTGGTTTGAAAGAAGTACAAAAATCAATAATTCTCCACCTGCATTCTAATTATAAAAGCAATCTCAGGAGAAAAACTTTTACAAAATCAATAGAACTTCAAAAACTTTGGCCAAAGTATAAAGCCGATATAGCCATTTTGGGAGACGTTCATAATTACAAAAAGACTTGTCTTATTTACCAGGTAATATAACAACCTTGTGAATCGATTAGTTGTTATATCAGCTAAATTTTACAAACGGGACAAGGAAGAAGCAGAGAGCGACGTGGGAATGAATCTTGGGAGAAAAGCCTAAAATTATGTTTTCTAATTTGAGTCAGGTCAAAATAACGATAATGTTCAATGCATGTTGCGAAAAGATTAATTGCAACATTCATATGCACGTTGTTAAAATGTTCAACAGCAACGCACACAGCACGTTGCTAAAAGATTAATGGAAACGTTCAAGAGCATGTTGCTAAAACATCTATTGACAACTCGTATTGTTTGTTGCTAAAACTGAATAATGGCAATGCGTACCGTACGTTGCTAAAACATTAAGAGCACATTGCAAAAAGAAATTCAATAACAACGGAATGCGAATATTGCAAAAGGGAGTATTAGCAACATTCCTTATAAAAATGTTGTCACAACTCAATTTAATCAACCAATAGCAACATCACTTGCTGAATGTTGCGATAAATCTCTTTTAGCAACATGCAATTGGTGAATGTTGCCTTTTGCATGTCGCAAAAGGCCTTTTTTCTTGTAGTGACAATATGAATAAATACGATATCATTCGAAAGTTAGGATTTCAAAAAAAAGATAGATGGACTACTTCAATGGTTTTTAATTTCTCTCCTTTGATCTTCTTCAATAACCCCCAAGCAATTGATGTAGGAAAAACAAATACACACATATAATTTGTTATAAAATAGTTCTCGACAGTCTATAATCATCCATAGTCGATCTAATACAAGTTTCGAAAGTTTGCTATTAAGTTCTAAACTTTTCAAATGTCAAATTTAGCTTCTAAAACCAGTGATAAACTTTTGTTTGCTCCCATAAGTCTTCCTCTTAAACAGTTGCAACCCAGTTGATTATTAGTTGCTCCCTATCAACTCAAATTTAGTTCCAATTTCCACCCTTTTTAATGTCAATTGCATCCAAATGCATCAAAGTCATGATTTAACTAGAATTAACATATTTACACCTAAGTCACACACACACACACACACATTCAGTTAATCACAAATAAGCAAATAAAGAAGCCATAAAAATGCACTTATCATATGTATACTTTCTCAATCGGAATGTTGTTGAATCTGCCCAAAAATTTATCATATTTTTGTGATATACGAAGAAGAAAACAAATGATATAGTTAACAAAAGAAGAAAATTTAGGATCACAGATCAACAAAGTAGTTATCCAACATGAACTGAAATAGGCTAATCTTTTCTTTCGAGGCACAAGTCAATCGTGTTTCCTTTTGCGACCTTGATAAGGACGGTTCTGTTCAAACCTATAGATTGTCTTCCATTGGAAAGGGAAATTTTTTTCTCCCAACACACATTCATATCATATATAGCAAGTGCACAAAAATAATCCTGGAGGCAGAATTCTTTGCAAGTATTGTTACCTACTTGTGAACAAGTATGGAGTTCATAATCAGTAAAGGGCTAGTCAGTGTTATTCAATTTCTTGAACTCTATCCATGTTTCAATTCCCATCCATTTTGCCAGCAACTAGGCCATTGAAAATTTGGCTTGTCAAGTAAATCGATGAGAGAGTATCCTTCTGGCAATAAGCATTAAGGCTTTCCATTTGAGTTTACACAATAGCTATTATATCCAAAAGCCCAACTCCTAAGATATCCTTCTGATTGCTCTACACGATAGACCAAGCCGATGTGAGATATAATCTCACATCGAATAAAGATGAAAACATAAACCAACTTATAAGGTCTTGAGCTAGTCCACTTAACAAAGTTAATCTTTTAAGATGGAACCCAAGTCTTAACATAATATTAGAGCCTATTAACTCCAACAGCGATTTCATCCGATTAAGACTTGAAAATGAGTATACGAATTTCAAGATTGATCTACTCAAACAAGTCACCATCTTGTGGGACATGTTAACAGATATTATCCTACATTTAATAAAGATGAAAACATAAATTAACTTATAAGGTCTTGAGCTAGTCCTCTTAACATGGTGTCACCCTTTAAGAAAGAACCCTAAGTCTTAATAAGCATCAGCAACGCAAATTTTTTTGAATGATTATAGCGCCTGAAAACTCCATCATAATCAATTCTTGCCATGTAAACATTGTGGCAAACTCATGTCTTTTATTCACGATAGATTATTTTGCTCCCTTGTATGAAGTAAATATAATCAACCTCTTCAAAAATAAGTCGGAGCGGAAATACACTGCATTAGGCAAGGTAGCTTTTGGCTTTGAACCTCCCTTAGTGAAATACCATCAGATTTACTGGCTAATTGGTGAATGCAATGTCTTGAACCATCAGCTGTTGGTGTAAATCATGACAATATTACTTATATAATATCTCCCCTAAACCATTCATGGTTCTCATGGTTGTGTCCACTCTAGCCCTAGACAGCTCTTGGTTTCATAGTGTTTTAAGAAAATTAAGCCCCAAATTTTCGTAGAAGCGGTCCCACTTCTCATTATATAGGCGATCTTCTTCCTTTTCAATTCAAGGTATAGGAATCATTAAAAGTCTTTCACTTATCCTTATATACCTTCATTATAGCACTTCAAGTTTGGGAATGCGAGTAAGTGCTTTGCTTCGAATCTTTTATGACTTAGTTGTTCCATTGAACCAAGATCTTGGGATCTCCAGTCCACAAGGTTGGGTTTCCACCATAGTGATTCTATTTGATAGGCTTTAGGCCCAATCTCCTCGATAAACCGTATTCTTGATCTCTTGGTAAATCTCTTAAAGGTACTATAAGTTTACACCATTGAGATGAATTGCTTAACGGTATTATGTCTTTGACTTACCATTAAATGTGACTTAGTATCTTATTAAATATAGCAAGCCAACGATCGATTCATTTAATAGATATACATTGTTTTTAACAAGAAATCCTCTCATGAAGCTACATGCTTCTCATTAGCTTTATCTAAAGCTTTGTCAATTTCCAAATAAGATTGAAGGATTTCTATCAAATCATTACACTAGTCAATCATATTTACTAACGGATTTCAGAATCATGGGTATTCAATATCATTATTGAAACATTACAATGCAATCGAACTTTATGAATATTCTCCAAATATTCCTATTGTTCTTGCATATCCAAACAGACGCCATGATCGGCTTTCATCCCACTTTATCCACTTTAGACTTAGTGTATATCATCCTTATAATTAGTATAAGGGCTTCCTTCCTTTCCACCTTCATAGATATCTTTCTATAAGGTATAGGAGAATGTAACTTTAAACTAAGTTACCCCATAATTCCTCAATTAGGAATATATGTGCAAGTAGTAGTATTGCACCTATACATCTTGAACTTTTTGTATAAGTTCGCAAACATTAATATTAACCCCCACATTCTTGGGTTATAATTGAACCTAAAGTTCAGCAATTCTTTTCATAGTTCAATTCATTTATTCGTGAAAGTCTAAGTACTTTCACAATGGCAATCGTCGACTCACACAAATGGAAAATTATTTTCTATTCGAAATTGTACTTCAAACAATAATAATAGTTTGATCATCCAAATTAAATTAAGGTAGTCACATAGACTAGCAATGATTTTTCAAGCATAAACCAACTTAATTGGTTCCACGATTGAAGTCAAATTCAACAATGAAGAAGACTAAGCATCTTGTTTTACAAGAATTGCAACTTCTCCAAATTTTATCACTTTGTGACATTCACACGATAATGTATCATTCACTTCAAATAATAAGGCACATATTCACCTTATTCACCACATTCAATTTTGGAAAGTTGTGTTTTCAAAAGACACAACCCTATGGGAGGACACACATCTTGGAATTAATCTCTACAAAGAGACATACCCGTTGAAAAATAATCATACCAAAAGTCTTGATTTTTCATATGAAAAGAGACACATTTTCATCTAACTTGATCTTATAATATTTCATATATTCTTCACAATTTTTGCATAATATAGTTTTTATCCTTTATAAATGAATGTCATTTTACAATCATTATTTCCAAGGATATCTAGCACCCCTACCAATTACAGACACCCTTTATACTCTATAAAATATTTTCATATCCCAATAATTGGACGCTATTAAAATAATTAGGACAAAACCATATTTTGTTATAATTTTATGTTCATATAATCTTGCATAAATCACCTCATTTAATTTATAGAATTAATTGAGGCTGTCATCAAGGCTTGTATAATTTTCAACAGAATATGAAAATTTAACCAACTAGGCCATTTTGATCAAAAGGTCTATCCGAAATCCAAACCCTTGTATGAATTCACCAAATAAATTCACTATTTGGAATTCACGTCTCATAAAACATATTTCACGTTCTAGGCTTATTCAAATTACTCATACCTGTAATCTGCTTTTGTATTTTATTATCTATCAATAATCAGATCTCCAAAGAGCTATTAGTGATATAATTCTTAAAGGAATTTAACACCAAAACATCAATCGAGTCAAGTCGCAGATCTAAGAACAAGTGAGTAGATTCACTTCTAATCCATC